CTGGTATGCCTCTTAATTCGATTGTAGCAGATGCTATTAAAAATGGTATGTGGTGGATTTCTTCTTCTCGTAGTAGGAATCCTATCATTCGTTTACTATTGCAGTGCCTCCTGAATCCTCTACAAATCTCTGAATCAGAGGTGGACGACATACACCTATGGAAAACAGGTATGGCTCCTCCATCAAACCATTTCTCATCATCATAAACTTGGAATTGTCTTAATCCTCCGGAGATGGAAGTAAGTTGGCACAAAGCAGTCTGGTTCAAGAATCGAATTCCCAAGCATGCATTTCTTACCTGGGTAACAGCCAGAAACAAGCTTGCAACTCGGGATATATTAAGATATTGGGGATTGCAAGTACCTTCGGATTTTCTCCTCTACAACACAGGCTCTGAATGACGACAACATCTATTCTTTGAATGTTCTTATAGCTCTGAGGTATGGTCTTTTTTTCTCTTCCAAAGCCCATCTTTCTCCACCAGTCTTGTTTGATGATGATATAAGATGGATGAGAGATCCTACAATAGATAAGAATGTGGCTTTCATTCTCAAGCTTCTATTTAGACGTTATGTAAAGAGAGAAATTCTAGGCTCCATAATGATGTATCTAGGCCAGCCTCTGCACTTGTTTCAGACATACAACTCACTCTCCGATCCAAGCTTGCTCCTTTCTCGAGATCAAAGAGACTCGCTCCAAACTCTAATACTTTTCTTATGACATGGTTCGAAATGTTTGAATGAAGTGTTAGGAACTACTTTTTGGATATGAACCTTTAAGGTTGAGTACTTGTGCTGTAACCCCAAGGGGAATAGGTAGCTTGTAATAGATTTCTTTGAAAAATAATGGAAGTTGATTACAAAAAAAAAAAAAGAAAATTTGATATAGTGTTAGTTTCGTCCACGTGAATTAAGTAAGTACTTATCATTTTTCCCCATTTTCACTATCTTGCAAATGCAGTATGGCCTGCCTGGAAGAAGACAATGGTATTAAAGTCCATGTTTGGGTAAAAAAAGATAATTAGTCGGTCAAATAAGCTAACAGTTCTCTCTGAGATCCATATAGCTTCATTCGACTATGCTTACATAACTTAAAGCATGTAATATTATTCAGCCTTATCAAACTTATTACTTAGTCTAAAATTACTAATCCGTCTTTAGTTTCAAGTATTGCACCGAAAATAAGTAGATTTTGCAACACATGGTCAAATAGGCAGTGATTTCTTCTCGAGTCTCGACCATAGCCATAAAAAGAAAAGTCTAACTATAATTTTGTTACTCTCTGCACCCTCTTTCAAACAGAAACGTATACGAAGAATATTATACATATTTTATACCAAAAGCCTCACAAAATCTACATGAAGCAATTACAAATAATAAAAATATCAAAGAAAAAAAATAAGATATCAGGGAACCAAAAATGAAATATAACTTGAAATTGTTTGAAGAAAATTTGGGAAAAATTATGATATGGTCTCAAAATATAAACAACATCAAAATTACAAACCTAAATTCATTTGTAAAAACTAAAATTATAAAGAAAATCTTGCGGCGTGGCGCATGTAATCACCTAGTACTAATTAATAGTATTAGATGCGTTCATTATTTAAAAGTTTAGATGCGTTTACAAAGTACGACCATAGACGTACGTTGTAAAAATATTAAAAACATTGATTGGGGTCTTGGGGTAACAATCCGAGAGTTTTGCAATCAAACACACATTATCTTCAGAAGATATATATGAAATACAAATACAAATACAAAAACAAAATAAAGCCTCCAAAATAATTTAAAGACGAGAAGAAGTGAATAATGATATGATCACTTTACATACATCTTCTCATGGGTGTCTGTAAAGCGGCTGCTTCAGTCTCTTCTGGCCGAATGTGTGCGTGCGACAATATATTCAACCATGGTTTTCAGGATCAAAACAACTCAAAATGCTTTGAGAACAAAGATGATTGTGTCTAGATATGAGAGTTACCCGATCAAACCGATGGATCGAGCGAGGACGAAGAGGCCATTGAGATAACCGATCTTCACGATTTTGTCAATCTCTTGCTTAGTGAACATTTTTTTTTTTTCTGTCTGCTCTTTATTCTACAAACTCCCGACAAGAGAATGTCAGAAAGCAGAAGACAATCTCAGTAGCTAATGGTATTCAACATTTGTGTCAGGACATGGAAGAGGAGCTAAGAAATGGAACCTCAATGAATTTAGTACTGTAATGGTGAAGAGGAGAGACATTTTACAGCTACATTCTGGTTTTAAGTACTTGTGCCAAGAGCTCTCCATCAATGAGATTCAACAAGGATCAATATCCTTCGGAATTTCTAGACTCTGGTTCATGAACCCCACAGCTCTGGTCACCTGCATATATTTCAAATAAGTGTTTCTTCATACATACACAAGAGGTAGTGCAGTGGGACTCCAAATGGAAGTTTTCAGCACTAAAAATAGCCGTGCAATGGATATAGGAAATCAAATTTCTAGAGATGTTGCATAAATATTGGTTTAAGCATTACTGGGCTATATAGAGCAACACAATGAAGTTGTATCTTTACATGTTACAGTAAATATAAATGTATAATGGGCCTTTGTGGTTCCTACCTTCCTATTTAGTTCATTTTATTTGTAGAGTTTTGTGGTTCCTACCTTCCAATTTAGTTCAGTTTATTTGTAGAGTTAACCAAAATTAGAGTGGGCTTTTAACAGAGGTTTACCTTGAAACTAGCCTTTTGACATGAAAGATTATTGTTATTTTTTGCCAAATATGTGATATCTTTTGAGATCACATATAACTTTTTGAGACGCTTTTTTTCCATCGTTCTACCGCTCAAAAACGTACCTGCAATGATTACACTGGTCAATGAAACAGTGTTCGACATAATGATTACACTAGATCGTTTTTAATTAGTAAAACAAACAACGTTGCAAGAGAACGACGTGACCCTAATGAAACAAACAATGTTTTGAGGCTAATATAGCAAGAAAAACTCTGCTTCAGCTAGCAAATTGCCTTAGTCTCTCTCGATCATTTTCTCTATTTAATTTCATTTCTACTTGAAATGACTGTATAAGGAAATCTCCCATGGTGTCCTTAAACTTGCCTATGTCGTTTTGAACTCGTGAAGTCCATTCAACTGTGTCACCTGTTTATTATTTGCGTTTTAAGTTAGCTAGTATATATATAAGACGTAAGATAGAGTCAAACACACAACGAAAAGACAAAGTAGATACCTTATTTTAGAATTTCAGAATTTTAGATATTTAATCTAAGGATTTTCCTTCAATTCTCAATTAAGTTTTGTGCAATTACTGTGCTTGTTCACATAATTTTTGTGACTAATACAACACATTATAAGCATAAATTTAAGCCTACATGGAAGACAAAGATACTCAAAAGATTGAGAACAAAATGACAGAGCATGTTGGGCAAAAACATTATGAAAACTTTTACTTTAAAAAAAAAGTAGAAAAGAATATATAAGACAATCAATAAAAAGAATTTGACGCTACATAAAAGAGGAAGTATCTGAAAAATTGTGTTTAATGCTGATCGAGCTTGTACTAGGTGCCACAAAGTTGTTCTTGAGTTGTTGTTTTTAGAAGTTTGTTTCAATGGAACCTCTGATATATCGGTAAAACGCATCCCAATAATATCTGTAAGAGTGTAACTTAATTTCGTTTTGTTATCATACTCCACAATACCCTTTTCCACATAGC